GGGCTGTATCTTATATCTGGTACCAAATATCATTCTTGTGGAGTGCATATTACGAATGTGAGAGGCTTAAACACCAAATCGGATAAAACATATATATGGGAGCTATAGCTGTCTCTGAACCGATTTTCTCCAAATTTGTTGTATTTGCTTTAAGGCTAATCTCGGTCATATATGCCAAAATTCGGGCCATTTGGGCTGATATTGGCCATTTGGTGGTCAATTAACCCGAAATCGGATGAAGATATATATGGGAGCTATATCCAAATCTGAACCGATTTCGATAAAATTTAAAACAGCTATTTCTGTGCTCCATCTAATACCTGGTACCAAATATCACGGTTGTGGAGTGTATAGTAGGAATGTGAGGGACTTCAAGATCAAATCGGATGAAAGATATATATGGGAGCTATAGCTATATCTGAACCGATTTTTTCCAAATTTGATATACTTGCTTCTAGGCCGAACTCGGTTGGGTGTGCCAAAATTCAGGTAATTTGGACTGATAGTGGACATTTGGTGCACATTTAACCCGAAATCGGATGAAGATATATATGGGAGCTATATCTAAATTTGATCAGATTCTCACCAAATTCAATAGGGTTCGTCCTTGGGCCAAAAAAATATTGTTTGGAAAATTTCATCTCAATCGGATAATAAATGCGACCTGCATTTTGTTCACAAGAATACATGGACAGACGGACGGACGGACAGACGGACTGACATGCATAAATCGACTCAGAAAGTGATTCTATGAAGGTTCTCAAAAGTAACTATGGGTCTATCTCTTTTCCTTCTCCATGTTACAAACAAATGCACAAAGACATAATACCCTTACCACTATGTGGTGTAGGGTATAAAAATGGAATATTGTATAATTATTTAATTGTTACATAATTTTTATTGCATAAAAAATATTTTTTTAAAGGGTGAGGGTGTAGTGGAATCGTTTGTTATCGATAAACTGACCTAGGGATCCCTATCTTCCTAATTTCCAAACATCTTTTATCTTAAGTCTTGCTTTGTTTCTGACATTATTTTTTATTGTTTACTTTTTAGGATATTAGATGATAAAAATTATAATTAAGAAATACCGTTAAAATAACTTATAAGGCAACATAATTCTGAAATAAAGTCTATTAAGTTTTTACTGCCGAACTGTTGGCACAAAATTAAAATGTTTTTTTCCTTTAACACTAAATAAAGTGCTTTATAAATATTTTGGCAAAATACAAAAAAACCCAATTTTTGCAGCCAGTGGCGTTTTATAGCGCCGGCTAAAATATTAGGCTGGCCTAAAAATAACTTCCCAGAGTCGTGGGCATCACACTACTATTAATGGTACTCCGTATGTAGCAAACACTTCATCCAGCAATGTAATCGTCGCAGCTGCGGTCATTGACTTGGTAACCTTTACCTCCAACCATTTAGAGAAGGCATCTCTAATGATGAGTAACATCATTCCCTCAAAGGGAACCGCATAATCTATGCTCTCAATGTCTTTGTCAATGCCCGGCCAGTAAACGAAGAACCGGGCTATGCCTTTCATCTTAACCATCCCTAGATGGGCGCAATGCAAATCTCTCATTAAAGATCTTTCGTAGTTTGCCATACGGAATATGCATGAATGAGGCAGCGTCTTACTCGGATGTAGGATTTGTACCAGCGGTTTGTGGTCAGTAATCAGAGTCCAATGACGGGAATACTGGTACTTGAAAAACTTTTGGACGGCCCACACTATGGCCAGCGCATTAGTATCGATTTGTGAATATCGTTGCTCCGTCGCAATTGGACGTTCCTGTCCATTAGAAAGACGATGCGACAGAACAGCTCCCAGTCCCGTTTTACTGGACGTCCGTTGCAAGTAGACTGGCAATGCTGTATCGTACGGGATCAGCACTTACGGGGATATCAGCAATTGTTTAATTTTGGTGTATGCCTCATGTGTATTTTTATTCTAATAGAAAGTTCCTTTTTTCAAAACGTCCCGAAGTGGCCTCTCAAGTGTAGACAGGCTTGGTATGAAATTCGAATAATACGACACCTTTCCCAAAAATAATTGTAACTCCTCCAACGTTCTTCGTTTTGTCGCATGCATAATCGCTTCAATGTGTTTGTTGGATTTATGAATTCATTTGGCATCGATTTTGTGACCTAGAAATTCAATCGATGACGTCACAAATTCGCACTTTTTTTTGTCATTTTGCCAAATGACCGGAATGTTGAAGGCTCCATAAACTGCTCGAATTGGACGTTACAGGACATGGGCAAATTCCTCGTCAAGAACCAAGTGTGTATACGCGTCAGTAATATTCAAATGGGCAAACACCGTTGAGTCCTTCATTCTGTTGAAAATATCCTCCGCTTTCGGAATTTGGTGTTCGTCTATTACAATTTGAGGATTTACGGTTGGCTTGTAGTTACTCTTAGCATCTATTTCTTTGGCATACGTATCCCGTAATGCGAATGGGATTTCTCGAGGTCTTGCAAATTTTAGCGTAGCACCTTGCCTTTATTGCACTTTAATAGGAGGACCTTTGAACTTACTCGCTACATCACTGAATATATCTTTATATTTGGCTAATAGCAGCTGTAGCCGATTGCCGTTGATGTTCAGACAGTATGGGTTTTTTTGCTGCTATAGATGCTATCTTCTCTCCTGTCACTGCTGACAACTCCGTCCCCGTTGATGCTTCTATTGGGTCTTGGATCAATTCGTCAAAATTTATTTCTCAAACAAAATGTGCGATTCACTCACGGCCATATAATATGTCAAAATCGCCATCAAGTTCAGCCTTCGACTGGTTCTGCTCAAAGACACATTCAACACGGTACGTCCTATGCACATAATCTTGTGCCCCGTATAACTAAAAAATCGCCTGTCCGCTTTCTTTAACACTGGTGACTGCTTTATGTTCCTTAAATTCTCCTATCTAATAATACTGAAAGGAGCATCCGTATCCAGTGCCATATCCACTTTCTGGCCGTCTATCTTCATTGTGACCATTTTCCGATCGAATGGCCCTTTTGTTCTGACTGTAGCAATCTGAGACGTATGTGCCTCCTCACCCTCATCTGACAACAACGACTCCTCTATCTGCTTTGTATTTGATATGCCCACTTTACTTATGTGACCTACCTTGCCGCATGAAAAACACTTTGCGTTCTTGAATTTACAATCCTTCCGTACGTGTCGACCTCCGCAACCATAACATCTCACCTCTGTAGTTTTATTCGACTTCTGCTTCACACTATTTTTCGTCTTGGCAGGTACAAATCCCAATTTGCATGTCTGTTCTGTAATAATATTCTCAATTGTATTTACTACACCCGTTGATACTTGAGTTAGCTCTTTTGCCGTGGAAAACTCATATGCCTCCGCAAAACTTGTTGGTTGCTTAGTAATAATTTCGTCACAAATATTGCGGGATTCCACTCCAAATATCATCTTCTTAATCAACATCCTATCCAGGAATGTCCCATAGTCACACAAAGCCGCAGCTTGCTTCAAGCACAGTAATTTGCCAACGATTCCCTTACATCTTGGCGTATCTGTCGAAATCTGAATATTTCTCCTCCCGTCGAAATGATTTATAAATGTTGTTTTGATTTCTTCATACTTTATTTCTTTAGGCTTCTTAGGACTAATTAGAATGTATTCAACTCAGCACCCATATGTACGCGCGCATACTCCTCTTAAGCAATCTTGCTCAATTTTAACACCCAGTCGAATCTGTCAAAATAGTCTTTAACCGTTGATCCATCTGTGCTTTTGTATTCGGTTATGGCAAACCGTGGCGGTCTTGTTGTATTTATGTCTTCTGACGTCAAAGACTGCGGCCACGATGTTTGAAAAGCCTCCGTCACAGCCGTACGAATTGCGTCTGCCAAGGAAGCAAAATCTGCATTCAACTGCTTCTGGTTCATCGTGCCTGTCCACTTCTGACACCAATATTGTATACTCAAAGTCTGGAATTTAATTCAGTTTATTTCATTAAGAAAGAGTGTGATGTACAAGTTACAAGAGTAAAATATGAACTAATACCTAAAGAATACGGAATTGAGAATGTTAGTGAAAATAGGGTTGCCAACTGGCAGATAAAATAAAAGTGATGTCAATATCGAGTTTATATATACAACAATTATAAAAAAGCGACAGTAACAAATTGGACTGTTAGATTGATCAATTTTTGCCGGTGCCACATATCACACACATGTCGAGGGCCATGTTAGAGCTAATTCCTATACAGACTTGTCCGCTTCAATTAACACATTGGAAGACAACATTGAAGCATTCATTCGTGAGGTACCGGCCGAAATATTGGAAAAGTATTCCAAATTGGAACTAAGCGGATGGAACCTTTGAATCACAGTCGCGGTCAACATTTGCATGGAATAATAATAAAACATAAAATAGTATGAAACAAGTAAAAAAGTGTCGATCGGTTTTGCCGACAGAGGTATACCCTCAACCAATGTTCGATTATTTAAAAATATTTTGACTTCTGTTATGATTATTAAAATATTTAACCCCTTATGCAGTAGGTTCCGAAGGAATGGGCAATTATTGGCCACATCGTATCCAACCTAAATAAATATGATATAAATATAGCGACGTGCTAGGTTTGGACTGTGTTGTGTTGATGGAAATATTAGGATTTACCAAGTCTTGAATGGAATCGGATAATAATTTCGCTTTTTATGAGCTTCACGGATATTCAAAACGTTGAGCCTTGTGGGGAAGGTACCAGAAGGATTGAACCGATATATCCTATCTTCACAACGGATTTTTTGTTAAAGAAAATAATGGTGTTTAATTTAGATTGAAAATTATTGCTTTGCTGCGTTAACAATGGGTTAACGCCTAATTACTTGTAAATGATTAACATCGTTGAAATCTGTCAATGTCAACAGATTTCAACGAGTGGCGAATGGCGCTAACGCCGACTTACTTCATGTTGGGATCGTTGTTTTGTTATAAACTCTCTCTTCTTCTATCGCGTCGATACGAACGAAGGCTCTCCCCCGCTATTGTGCAAATTAAGGTAATATTGTTTACCAACTCCTTTTTTATTTATTATCAATAAAGCCTGGCCTTTGCCTTATTTTATCTCTTAAAACTAACCCCGCTATTGTGTTTTTATTTATTCTATTTTGTTTGGTTTGCTTTGCATATTCCCCCTTTACCCCGCATTGGCGCAAACATTGGTCACTTCGGACCGGATAACGAGTTGTCGGCAAAAAGAAGTTAATTGTTTCTTCTTTTTTATTTACAAAGCAAACTTCATCATCACCATCAACAAAAATACAGTCCACACAATCATCGTCATCATCATCTTTATCATCATCTCGTTTCCATTAAAAACAACCAGGTACGTAAAGTGAAAAAAAGTGCCTTGTGAAAAAAAAAAAAAAAAAAAATAATAAAATTCTATTGAAAAAGAATTTTCGAAAAATTTGTGTAAAACAACAACAATTCGTGTCGTTTATTTGTTCAGTGGCCGTTTTACAACGCGTCGCGTACCCCGTTCCCCCGCCGTCTAGTTTTGCAAATATTGTTTTGCCGTCGGCATTCGACAAAAAATCATAGAAAACAAATAAATCAAAATAATTGTGAAAAAAAGTGTATTTTTTGGCTTTTCTAGTGAAAATAAAATATTGTTGTCGGGTGTCATTTTAATGTACGTTAAATTTCCTATCGATCGGTATAGTTGAAATTAACAAATTGTTAAATTTTTTGCAAATTTGCATTTTTGGTAATTAAAATATTATTAAAAATCACCCCCAAAAAATACACGCAGCAATTACATTGGTTTGTTTGGTTGTTCGCTAACGATCGATATACAAACATACAAACGCAGTAATAGGCACACGGCTGATGATCACTGCTTGGTCGGTCAGCCACACATAAGCGTATACATACATACGTTTGGTGCAGACGTTTTTCTATCGTTCGTTGCATTACAGGTGAACCGTGATAAAACGACCTGTAATATAATATATGACGATTTTTTGATTTTTGTTTTGAATAAATATTAATGATAATTGGGTGTAATAAAACGACGTTTTTGGAAAAAATAAATAACGCGTGCACCCTACGATCGGTCAATACGACTTTTTAGTAAAAAGTGTTAAAATTGATATTTTTCGTGCGGAATTTGAAATTTTTAATTAATTTTGGAGATTTTGTTCGAAAATTTTATTTTTTGGTCAATATTTTTTGAAAAAACACGCTACATTCGGTAGTATAGTTGCCTAAATTGTAGGTAATTTTAGATAAAAAATTTGAAAAATCTCTATATTTTCGTTAGAAAATAGTACAAATTAAAATATTTTAGATTTTTTGTGCGCGAAAGTACGGTTTTTTGGAAAATTACCGGTAAAAATACACAATTTTTTATAAAATTTGCCCATCTTTTATATATTTATTGATATATTTTTTAAATATTTTTTGAGAATTTTATATTTATTTATTGATTTCAACACCTTTTTCGTGGTACCTTTTTATCGGTTGCTAAATATCTCATTGGAGATTATAATTTTGAAATTTATAGTTCAAATTTTGATTTTTTCACTATAGTGTGAGAGGTTCAAGGCAATTATTTCGCGAAAGTTTTCAAGTTTTTTGGCCCTATAGTGCGGTTTTGGTAAATTCTTGGCATCTTTCGGTACGTTCCTTGAACATTTAACAAATTTGGACGATTTTTTGGAAATTTTTGAGTTTGTTGATAATTTTGCGTTGTTACTCCTTCGTATATTGTGCGAAGTCGAATTTGGTTTTTGGTTATTTTTTATAGCAAATCGTGCTTTAGTTGTTTTTCTCTTACTTATTGTAGTAGAGACTTGGTAAAAACCTTTCAAAATGCCTTTGACTCCAATTGATATGTTTATCAGAGCTTCGGATGCTCTCGTAAAGTTTAACGCTAGCTTTGAGTCTATGCGTGATGAGGAATTAGACTTCCAGACTTTAAAATCCCAAATTAATGGATTGGAAAACTTGTGGGAAAGAGTGCAGCAAAAGTTTGAAAAAGGTTGCGATTTCATGATGACGTCGGTAGAGACATCTAAAGAAGAAATAGATGCGGTCGATCAGAAGTATAATGCATCTTTTCAACTCTATCTGAGATGCCAGGCTGCAATTAATAGGAAGTTAGACCAATTTAAAAGGGTTCGTTCTACTTCTATTAATTCAAGTGTTAGTGGTTCCGTAGCGTCGTTGTTAGAAACCCCGGGTGAAACCCTAGAAAAATCACCGAATCCAATTATGCCGAAATCGTCGGTTGAAACGCGAAACCAATTAAATGTTTCGAATCAGGCTTCGCAAATTCAGACTCCGCTTACCTCTATTGTGGGGAATAGTAGTGCGAGTTTTCGAACTTTAGATTTTGTTTCAAATTCAGATGTTGTACATAATCTAGCGCTGCCGCCGTGCGACACAGATATATTTGAAGGCGATTTCCACTCATGGCCAACCTTTAGGGATTTGTTTACAGCTGTGTACATTAATAATGCTCGTCTAAGCGACATTGAAAGACTTTGTCATTTGGTCCGGAAGACGACAGGGGAAGCTCGCGAGATAGTGTCAAAGTTTCCACTAACTAATCGTAGTTTCGCGCCGGCTTGGAAGGCTTTGATCGAAACTTATGACAATCCTCGACTTCTTGTTCATAACCAGTTGAAGGTTTTATTCGATATTCCTGTTCTCTATAGTGAGACTAGTTCAGGATTAAAAACGATCCAACGCGGTATAAATGGTTTTTTAACTTCGATGGCAATTTATGAAGTCAAAACTGAAAATTGGGATCCGATTCTTGTGTTTTTGTGTCTCCAACGACTGCCAAAACTTACTCAGACCCTTTGGGAGCAAAGTGTAAAGGATAAATCCTCTCTTTCGTCTTGGAAAGACTTGGATGCTTTTCTCACTGAGAGAATTCGTACGCTCATGTGTCTTCATGACATGCGTGGCACAGATAGGTCGAAGCAGTTAAGTAGTAGAAAAGTTCAAGCGCATTATTCTAATGTTAATGTCCCTAAATCGCCTAGTTCTCCCCGTGCTTCGAAAAGTCCACATTGTGTCATTTGTCAAAATCAACGTCATAAATTGTATGACTGTCCCCGCTTTAAGAGCTTAAAACCCGTTGATCGGTATAAAGTAATGAAATCAACTTTGCATGAACTGTCTTCGTAGCGGTCATGAAGTAAAGAAATGCGATAGCAAACGTAGGTGTTCGAAGTGCAATAAGGCACATCATACATTGTTGCATCGGGAAGATTTTACATTGGGTAATTCGACTCCAACTTCCACTGTGACATCTAATGTTCCTCAAAATTCGAGTTCCAGTCCATCTACTTCGGGAAATTGTGCATCATCAACTGGATGTGTACCCCGCCAGGTGTTCCACACCGCACAGAACAAATCTGTGCTTTTAGGTACGGCGGTGGTGAATATCGTTCACCAAGGTGTTTTGTATCCTGCTAGGGCGCTGATAGATCCTGCGTCAGAGTCCTCTTTTATTTCAGAGCGACTCCAAAATCAATTGAAGCTTCCCGCATCCCCTGCTAAGGCTGTTGTATCAGGAGTTAGTGGTTCGCTTTCGGCTACTGCTAATAAAAGTTGTCGTATACAAATTAGCAGTCCACTCGATAATTCTCTAACATTAGAAACAAGTGTGTTAGTGTTGCCTACTATATCAGAAAATCTTCCGTCATTTGTGACCAATTCAGACTTGAGGCCCCAAATCCCCGACCTTCGCTTGGCAGATGTCAATCTTTTCGAACCTCGTCCCGTAGATCTGTTGTTAGGAGCCGATATTTACCCCAATATTGTTTTAGATGGTTGTCGTTCGATTTTGTCTGGAGCTTTACTGGCTCAAAACTCAGTGTTCGGCTGGCTTGTCACGGGTCCTATACCAGCAGCGCAGTACCACCAATAATAGATCATTTGTCGATCGATCCCCCCTGAGCTTTTGGTTGACGCTCAATTATTATTGTATGTTGGAGCTAGTAGTCACAAACCTGTGGGCGTTAGGCGAAATTTGATTTTAGATTTTTTGTCTACTTTGCATTTAACAGTTAAGAGGGAAGTTCTTTCGGCTTTTGCGAAATTGTTTGATACCCCAATGATTGTTACTGCGAAGATGATTAACTTTTGACAGCTACTGAGGCTGATTGGAAAAGTTTTTGTCCGATGTCGCACAGTTCTGACGAAATAGTCGCGTCGAAGCCAAGACCTCTCATCACAGAGCAACCATTAAGCTTAGTTAATCGGTTTAGAAAAGTTCAGGCCCTCGCCCACCAGTTTAGTTTGAGGTGGAAAGAGGAATATTTGAAACATTTACACATGAGGTATAAATGGAAATTTCCAGAGCGCGAGTTAGCCATAGACGATCTAGTTGTTGTTCGTCATGACCAGCTTCCGCCAACGTCGTGGAAATTAGGCCGTGTCGTAAATGTTAATCCGGGAACTGACGGTCACGTTCGAGTCGCGGACGTCCGAACCGAGAACGGCGTTGTAAGACGGCCCATCGCCAAGTTGGTCGTTCTGGCCGACGACCCTTTGATAAGTAATTAAAATGGTTCTCTTCTCGTTATATAGTATGTCGATGAAATTGTACACGGAAGACGAACTCTTGAATGTTGATGAAGCCAACGCCACCCCGGATTGTCCCCCCACTGAGACCACATTGTCCTCTGCTGCCGTTGAAGCTGCTCTTGTGGAACCTATTGCAGCTGTAAAAATATCTGAGCCTGGGTCCGAATCGAACAAGTCGGATTCATCTGCGGCCCTCGCCTCTACTGTCGAATTGATGCAAACCGAGTCCGAATCCTTATCGGTGGATTCATCTGCGGCTCCGGTCCCTGCTAACCCCAGATTTGAAAATTCGCGAACCGAGTCCGGATCTTCGGGTCCATCTGCGGCTCCGGTTGCCACTCCTCAGTCGTTGGAGGAGTCGGCCAAATTTAGTAGGTCCGAATCCTCTCGGGATTCATCTGCGGCCTCCCATAAATGTCGCCTTTGTGACCGCATGCACCCTTTGGATAGATGTAGCGACTTCCGCGTCATGAATGTTGACATGCGTCGTCGAGTTGTTGTTAAATTTAATGATTGCATACGGTATTTAGCGAAATCCCACCAAGCCAGGGACTGTCAAAGTAAAAGAAAGTGTGCCGTATGCAACGAAGATCACCACACTCTTCTTCACGTTGATTCGAAGACCATGGTTAAACCCACAAGTAATAGTCGGCGTCGTCCGCATACGGATTATAGGCATCGTTCGCGTCATAGTCCTTACTATCGTCCGACTGAAAATGCTTCCCACTCGCAGGTAGGACTGGTCGGCTTGTTGTCCCTCCAGTCTGGTATCTGCATTTCCCCGACTTTGTTAGTCAAAGTTGATGCTTTTGGCCGTCCCTCTATCGTGAGGGCGGTATTGGACCAATGTAGTAGGCAGAGTCAGATATGCTCCTCTTTGGTGCATAGTCTTCGTATCCCTACTTCAAGAATCGATGGTAGCCAAATATGTAGGCTTAGTCTCACCTCGATATACGACCGGAGTCAGTCCTTGTCAATTGTGGCAGTGGTGACCCATCTGGACCATGCGCGTACGCCTACAGCGGCAATCCCAGAGCGCATAAAAGACTCCTTTCTTGGTCTTCCTTTGGCAGATCCTGATTTTAATAGGCCTGGGCGGGTGGCCCTGGTACTCGGGCCGGAAGTCTATGCCAGGGTCGTAACACATCGGGTGCATGCGACGCCAGGGTTACCGATAGCCCACTACACCATATTTGGTTGGGTATTGTCGGGCATATGTAACATATAGTGTTACACAATGTTGTTTGAAAAAATGTAATGAATTAAAAATAAAGAAATTGAAGATAAAAAAGAAATGAATTGATGAAAGAAAAAAAAAAAGAAAAAAAAAATTTAATTATGTATTGTATTTTAGTTACAACATCTCAATATGTTGCAAGGTGGGCGGCATGTTTAATTTAGATTGAAAATTATTGCTTTGCTGCGTTAACAATGGGTTAACGCCTAATTACTTGTAAATGATTAACATCGTTGAAATCTGTCAATGTCAACAGATTTCAACGAGTGGCGAATGGCGCTAACGCCAACTTACTTCATGTTGGGATCGTTGTTTTGTTATAAACACTCTCTTCTTCTATCGCCCCGATACGAACGAAGGCTCTCCCCCGCTATCGTGCAAATTAAGGTAATATTGTTTACCAAAATCCTTTATACTTATTATTAATAAAGCCTGGCTTTTGCCCTTTTTATATTTAAAACTAACCCCGCTATTGTGTTTTTATTTATTTTATTTTGTATTGGTTTGCTTTGCAATTCCCCCTTTCCCCGCACTGGCGCAAACAAATGGTATGTGTGAAATATAAAGAGAACCTGATGCTCATATCGGATTTTATAAACGTTTTGGTTTTTCAAAACTTGGATTTTCACACCTGACCTAGAACTGACGCAAATATTAGATTTTGCAACGTTGGAACAATATCGGAAAATCCTTTATCCTTCTGTCTTTTTTAAAATTTCGACCTTTTGTGGGGATGTACCCGAAGGAGTGGACCGATATTGCCCATCTCTGACCTTGATCTAAGTTTGACAAAAATATTGCGATGTACCCAGTTTGGGCCAAGTCGGATACTCCCTTCGAGAGTTATCGTGCGCACCAGGTCAGGTCCAAAAATGGATAATATCAGTCCACTCCATCAAGTGCTTCCCCCACAATGGGTCAAAATTTTGAATAATTGTAACTCTTATAAAATGTTAGGTAACAATCCGACAGTATCAAATTTCACATATCCAATTTTATCACATATCCATATATTTTTATAAATTCAGGATCTGGTGTTAGGATGGAATATATCGGTCAACTCCTTTTGGTACCTCCCACACAAAAGATCGAAAGTTTGAACACCCATGAAGTTCATAAAATGCGAAATTAACATCCGATTCCATTCCAGGCTTGGTACATCTCAATATTTCCATCAACACAAGATCTGTTATGATGATATATATCTGCGAACCCTTTCTGGTAAAATTTTCAATACTTTTATCTTTCATAACTTGCGATTCTTTACAACTTGCTATATCTAAATATTTCTCTCAACCAGAAACCTGAGATAAATATGGAATTTGTTATTTCGTATAAATTGGATATAAATATTCGATTTTCTTGTAATTTTGACCATACCAAAATTTTTATATGTATTAGATAAAGTATGAAAATGGAATACTTCCTCAAGCACATTTCAATATTCTCTAAAATTTATTATATTTTTCAAATAAAGTGAAGGAAGTAGCCAATATAGTCCAAAACGGGCACGTCGCAATATTTATATCATAAGTATTCAGGTCCGACATGAAATGGTCAATATTGATCCATTCTTTCTTAACCTACTCCATAAAGGGTCCACAATTTGAATAATCATAACAGAACTCAATCAAACCTTGGCTGAGGGTATACATTTGTCGGCAAAACCGACTGATATTTTCTAACTTATTTGTTGTTTGAGATGAAGTAAGATGATGCAAGATCATTGATGGAATTTGGTGTCTGAAACCGAATTCAGCAAGCCCCCTGTAAAAACCTTTGAAGAATGGAAGAAGGTACGAAAAGAAAGTGTTAAATACAAATACAAAGGTTCTCAGAATTGTAGGGCAGAAGCGGCCAGAACCACAGACTGGAATAAAAATCCCACGGCAGTGGGTTCTGCGACACCCGAAAAATAACACACCAGTTTCGGCCAGTGGCTGCCAACCCAGTATATACATGTTCGTGTTTGTTTATTTTTCTGTATTGGGATCAGCACATCCCAGAATGCTTGCTCCGGATTCTTTTGGTCCCTGCCGGAATTGTGCAAAACCCTGGACCATGGTTCTGTACTGTTTGCCAAAACATCATCCACCATAGATCAGTCTCGGTGCGATGTAATGGATGCGGAGGATGGGTGTATTTTAGGAATTATTCCGGTTTAACCTAGTTGCGAGACTATAGCGAAAGGGACTATGTTGCATCGTGCTGTACCAAAATAGTTCCCAGTGAGTCCACGACCTCGTCGTCAACTTCGTCGTCGTCGGAGTATTGCAACGGACTCTGATGTAGAATTGGTGAGATAGTGGATTTTATGAATCGGAGGAATGTCTTGATGGCAGCGGTGCAGGAAATCAAGCATAATGAAAATTGTAGCTTACAACGTTGCAATGATTACAGCATATTGAGAAAAGATCTCACAAGAAGTGGAGGTGGGGGATTAGCGTTCCTGTTACATCATTCTGTTCAATACAGACCTATATCGTCAACTTTGATATTTGATACTGTCAACTATGCCACGCTGTTTGAGGACGTTGAGAATACTACCCTCCGCAAAATTTAAAATGTTGGATAGTCAACTATATGTGTGGACGCCAGTCGTACGTGGAATCCTGGAACAAGAAGTCCGTGCCCTGTAGAGTGAAAAAGGGAGTTCCCCAAGGTGGGGTGATATCTCCGGAACTATTTAACCTCTACCTTTACGGAATTCCGCGCCCTCCAGATGACATTAAGGTCGTAACATATGCGGATAAATGTACGATCATGGCGTCGGGTCGGGTCAGCCTGACATCTGTGTCAGGCTGAACAGCTATCTCGCGGAGCTTGTCCCCTTCTTCCATGCGAGGAATATGAAAATAACCGCCACTAAATCATAGGCTACACTATTTACCACATGGACTTCGCAAAGACAAGGTCCTCGAGGCGCTAGCCGGTAGCACTTGGGGTGCAGATAAGGAAACCTTGTTGACCTCTTATAAAGCGATAGGTCGGTCTGTGGTTAGCTATGCGGCTTCAGTCTGCGAATGCAAGTGCAACGTAGTGGGAAAGTATTCAGGCCTGCCAGAATGAAGCCCTGAGAACTGCAACAGGGTGCCTCCTCATGACCTCTGTGGACCATTTACATCGTCAGCATAATCATATGCCTTCATTGGCGTACCTGCTTGTGAGTCATCCTAACTTCCATATGGTAGGCAGAACTCCCCCACCCAGGCTTGTAAGGAAGGACCTGCATGATCTAGAGAGAGAGAGGTCCGGCGATATAAGAGAAAGCTCCTAGATCGTGCAGCCTATCAAGAGTGTCTGAATAACATTTATACTGATGCAGTCGCAGAGGTGGTAAGCAATTACAATATGAATGCCATGGTCGGAGTCCACCGCCATCCATCTTTGGCTACAGCCCATAAAGGTATCAGAATTCCTAAACCTAGATATCGAGGAAGAGCCAGAGTAATTAGTAAATAAACATCGGAGCACGTTGTTACTGCTACAGCAACAACGTATGGAGCACATTGGAAGACCATATCTATATATATATATATATATATATATATATATATATATATATATATATATATATATATATCCATATATATATATATATATATCCATATATATCCATATCTATATAAATATAAATATATAATATATATATATATATATATATATATATATATATATATATATATATGTATATGATATGTATATGTAGAACAGAAGGTATGGTAAGTTACAGTCTTCCAGTATGTAAGAGAAAATGATTTTCAGAAAATTACGACATCGTCAAACATAACATGATTTCCCAATTTGCTCCCTCAAAACATCATCCATGGCCCTTTGGAAAATACAGGAAAATACTACAATATTCGTAGTTCCCATTTCCGATCAAAAATGCCGTTTTTCCCGATCTTGTTCGGATAGTGTTATTTGGTGAAAGCCTGATTTGCGTCGTAAAAATCTTGCTTTACCAAGATTTGAGAATAATGGTTATTTGAGGTATTGGGTATTTCTCAAAGGAAGATCACGTCAAATATATTGAATGGGTATTGGACAAATTATGTGCTGCCAATATGAGAATTTCCTCGTAGAAATCACATTTTTTTTTCAAGAAAGCGTTGTATATCTTGCCTTTATAGTTTCTAGAAATGACATAAAAATGAATCCGGAAATGTTAGAGACCATCCTCAAGTATGAAAAACCTGCAACGCTCTTTAATATAAGGTCGTTTTTGGGATTGATAAGCTACTACAGATGCTTTATTAAAGATTTTGCGTCTATTGATAAGCCACTAACCGATATTCTAAAAGGCGAAAACGGCAAAATTAGTGTTTCCCAATTGAAAAGGATAAAATAAATCTTAATGAAGAGCAGCTCCAGACGTTCGAAAAACTTAAGGAAATACTTGCATTTGAAAATGTGATTTTAAAATAACCAGATTACAAAAAACCGTTTGATTTGAAAACGGACGCCTGGTCCGCTGTTTTAGGTGCAGTCTTGTCCCAAGACAGAAAACCAATAACCATGATTTCAAGAGCTTTAAAAAATAGAGAATTAAATTTCATTACGAATTTCGATATATAGTATGGGCCTTAAAGAAACTAAGTAACTATTTATGCGGCATGAAAAATTTGAATATTTTTACGGACCACCAGTCTCTGACATTTTCCGTTCCGGGTCGCAATCCGAACGCCAAAATTAAACGTTGGAAAGCGTTCATTGATGAGCACAATGCAAATATCTTTACAAACCTGGAAAAGAAAACTATGTAGCTGATGTCCTGTCCCGACAACACATTTACGATTTAGAAGAAGACGTACAGTCGGATATTGCAACAGTGCAAAGGGAGTTGTCACAGACAAACCAGTAAACTGCTTTCGGAATCAAATAATAATAGAAGAAAGCGGAAGTGATTCGGTAAGAAAAACTATTATGTTTGGTAAGAAAACTCGATATGTCTTGTATTTTATATTTTAGAATATGCGATGTAGTTAAAAGTGATATGGTGAATGCAATTTTTTTATTTAAAAGTACTGACATTCATTCAACACAGATTAGTGGAAAAATTCCCGTCAACTACATTCCGTTACACTGATCGCATGGTAACTGACATTTTTGACAAAAACGAACAAAAAGAAATTACTGTCTTGGAACACAATAGGGCACATAGAGCCGCCCAGGAGAATGTAAAACATATTCTGCAAGGCTATTTTTTCCCAAAAAACGACGATGATAGCTAACGAGGTGGTTTCAAACTGTAAAGTATGCCGAAAAGCGAAATACGATCGACACCCCAAGAGGCAAATTCTTGGAGAAAAGCCCATTCCTTCATATACTGGGGAAATGTTGCATATCGACATTTTCTTGACTGACAAGAAATACTATCTCACTTGCGTTGATACATTCTCAAAATTCACAATGTTCCAATTAATCGCATCCAGAACAATTATAGACGTGAAATCCGCCATTTTAGAGC